TGGAATAAAAAGGGCGAGTTCTGGACAAATCAGTGAAAAAAACTTCCACTTCCGAAATGGAGTTCGGACGACTTTCACTTTTAGATAACCTAGTAAAGTGAACATACTGCTTCTTCAAGAGGTCTGGGAGGAAGGACAGGTTCGTCTTGGAAATGTGATACAGGTATAAATGTAAAGCGGCAAATGAATCCGAAGGATCCTTATAATCGCGTACGGGGCGTCGGGTTGAAGTTCACCGCGAGTAAAGTCAGCAACCTTGAAGAAGAAGACACGATCGCCGGGACAAGAGCTTTATTAGCCTGACGTTTCGGACTCCTGCTTGAATCCATCATCAGAGACAAAAGCGGATAAAGGTGGTTCATGCATATGCGGCTGCAGTATTTACAGGATGCAGTCGCCATTCTACCGCATACCTATGAATATTCACGCACCCCCCCTTCATCAGGGATGGTTGCATGTGGCGTGATGGCCAACATTTGCGTCGTTGACTGCTGCAATTTCATCACGTGCGTTGGATGTTGGTGTGATGATTGCTGGACCATCTAAGCTGAATAATCTTGCGTCTTTTGAGTATTCCAGGCAAAGCAATTCGGCCCGTTGAGATCTGGCGAACGTCTAGCTCAATCTACATAACTACGTCGTACAATCTACTTTGGGAAATCAGCCTCCAACCAGTCTTCACCAGAAACAAGGCAATATGGTGCGCCATCCTGTTAAAGCTGTTCTGGGTGGCCTTCCTACATCTCCTCCATCGTGGGCATTCAATAACCGCTTAACAGCAAGTGTGCCTCCCCGGTTGCGTTCTTTTCTAATAAAAACGATTTCATGACTTGTGCCTTCCAAAGCCCATAGACTACTGGCATGTCCACCGTTCCATGTTGTCCGGTAAAAAAATCCAATTAAGGTGGTCTTCCGACCAGTACCGTACGTTCTGTTTTCTCCTGCCTCTATTTACTTGCAGCAAATAATACTGTCACTGCGAGCATAAAGTCCTCAGTAAGTTGCTGTTCCGACAACCACACAAAGATCTCCATACGGGGACGAAAGGGGATCATGAGAGCCATACTTTTATTGTAATCACGTTTCGAAAGCAGCCAAGCCTTTATCGTCGGAGGTGAGTATAGATAGATAATTTAGATAGATAATTTTTATTAAAGACCCGTCGGAGTCCCATCAAAGCAAGTTAAAATAAATTTACATGAGAGTTTTAGACGAGGTAGGCCGAATCTTTACAAAATGCAATTCCTAGTTCCTGAATTAGAAGTCCATTGAGAAACATGATGATTAAGGGGTGAAAAAAAACTCCTTACAAAAAGTTAAAAATGATTGGATTAATTTTACAGGAGAAAAAACCCTCAATAAAAATAATGACAGAAAAAATCGAGCAGGACTGGCCTGTAGGTGGCGGTATATAACGGAATGTTGTCGGTCATCGTCAGGGTAGCAATAAATGTCAGCCTTCATGGGTACGAATGTGGGTCAGACAGGACTGGCTTGCATATGGCATTGTATACGGGATTCACAATTGAGATCGTTTGGGCCGGATTGGTACGCCGCGTCAAAGAGGCCAGACGAGAGGAACCCAGATGCGATCAGCCACAGCACGCTTCGAGCTAGGCCGAGCAGTGGGGAAGGGAGGTACGACCGAAATACTTGTAGACAGTGAATACTGAGGGTTCCGCCGTGAGCGTCGACAGACCGCATGAGGTCGGAATGCGGGAGATGACATCAAAAACCGCGAAAATTGTCGCTATGGGGGGGAGTGATAGCAGTGGATTTAGAAACCAATTCAAAACAGGGGTTTCTAATGATATAATTAAGAGTTACCACTTAATCTACCACTAAATCCCAGAAGGACCCTTCTCGAAGTCAAGAATCTGAGTGTTCGGGAATAAGACCGTTAACAGTGCCTTTATGCTTTCCGGTGTAATATGGTTGCGTAATTTCGACTTGAATACCAGTAACTGAGGCGATAATCTAATTTCAGGCGGAAGATTATTCCAAAGGAAGGCATATTTGGAAGCAAGGAAGAGGGAGCGCTTAGATGTAGTACAAAGAGGCGGCGGAATCACCATGCAGGAGTATCCCACTGCATCCCACACCATCTATGGCGAGTAACATCCATGTTAGCACGACGTTAGTGGTACGGATTTATTTTGACAGTGTACACGGGAGAGTCGATAATCGACTTCGGCGCTCATCGCTAGCATATGTACAGTGGTAATCTCTGTAGTCGCCGGGGCGAAAGGGAAAGAGACTGACTGCTCCCAATCTTCAAGTGGTGGGGGCCGATGACGTCAAGGATAACACTCACAGAATAAATCCTGCCTAAGACCGATTTAAATAGAGTTGCTAACGCTTCACCGTACTTAGCTGTGCGAAGGAGCAGAGGAAGAAGTAGGCCGACAAAAAGACAAAATAGAAACCGATCGAAAC